ATTGGTCGAAAGGTGCAGGAATGAATGAATGAATGAGTGAGTGTATGAATGAATGATTATTAGCATCAGCTTTGCAGAAAAGTCTTTGAACTCAGCCGAGACATGTCCCTACTCATCACCCACCACTGCTGAATTTGCAAACAGAATGGGACCTGATTCCCCAACAGATCCCTCCACCTACCTTCACACGTCTCCCCTGGACCGCGGAATGTCATGTTTCCACTGCTAGAAACAAATCCTGGGTTGCAGACACAATAGTAGCTTCCAGGACTGTTGTGGCAAGTCGCATGCTCTGGGCAGTCTCTGAGATCCACACATTCATCCACATCTAGAGAGTAGAAGAGAAAACCCGGGTTAAGGCAGATGAGGAAATGAGAGCAGGAGACTGCAAGTGCAGACTTGCTCTACATGTTCTTATCTTGTGGCACACAGCACTGAGGCTCCCCAATACTCACATTCTCCCCTTCTCCCTAACCTCCCTTGCTGTTACGTGGGACCATGAGAATAAATTCTGGCCAATAATATGTAAGGAAAAGGGTGACGAATAATTTCAAAACGTAATGATCACAGATTGCACAAATGGCCGTAGTCTTTTTTTCTTGGCATAGAGAAAAAAGATATGTTGAAGTGCTAAACCGGGTCTCTGAGAATGTGACCTTATTTGGAAACAGGGTCTTTCTAGTTGCAATTAAGATGTAAGTTAACATGGGATCATGCTGGAGTAGGATGGTTAATCTTAATCTTATCTGATTGGTGTCTTTATAAGTAGAGGAGAAGGGGCACAGAGGCAGGCTTGGGGAGAACACCATGTGATGACAGAGGCAGAGATTGGAGTGATGCGTCTACAGCTCAAGGAATGCTAAGGATTGACAGCAACACCAGGTGCTGGGAGAGAGACACAGAGCAGATTCTCTCCTAGAGCCTTCAGAGAAACCACGGCCCTGCTGACACCTCGATTTCAGACCTCTGACCTCCAGAGATGTGAGAAAATAAATCTCTGCTGTTTAAGGCCGCCAGTCTATAATATTTGGTGATGCAGCCCAATCTGCCTAACACAATGTGCAAGACAATTCATCTCTGTGTGTCTCGGTTTCCCCATCTGTCAGATGAGGATAATAGTACCCACCCCACAGGGTCATTCAGAGGATTAAATAAGGTGACCTCTGTAAAGCACCTACCACAAAGCCTGGAGCACAGTAAGTACTAGGCAAGTTAATCTTAACTAAAATAAAAATTAACCACTAACATATTGAGCTTTCTTTGTGGCAGGCATTGCCATAGATCTCTTACATGCATTAGCTCCATGAATGCTCATAGAAACCCTATGAGGTATAAACTAACAGTTCCACTTTTCAGAGGAGGAAACTGAGGCTTCAAAATTGTGCATCATCACATAGCTTGTGAAAGGCACAACAAGAATTGGAATCCGGGTTCTGTCTGGCTCTGGAATGTTTGCATGACAGCTTCCCAGGCTGTCTTAAGTCTCAGAGTCTGGGAATTTGGTGATTACATTGATGTCTCTCCTACACAAGCCCACCTTGAGCTGCCAGAGGTTGCAGCCTCATTTGGAGGCAGAATGGCATGATGATGGGGACAATGGGGTGTGAAGTCACATCTAGGCAAATTCAGATCCTGACTCACCTACATCCAATCTATTTGGCCTTGGAGGGTGATTCCATGACAATGGAGGCTCAGTTTCCTCGTCTGTGAAATGGGTGTAGAATATGACCAATACCATCAGGTTGTTGGGAGGACTGAATTAGCACACGTATGGGAGAGCTTAGCGCCTTGCTTGGGATCCTGCCTCCATGCTTTCGTACCTGCTGTTCCCTCTTGCTGCAACATCCTTCCCCAGACACCCAATCTCTCAGTCCCTCACTTCCTTCAAATCTTGTCTCAAATATCAACTTCTCAGCATGGCCTCTTCTTACCACCTGGTTAAAATTAGAATCCCATTACCAGAACTCTTTATCTGCTTTTCCTGCCTTTTTTGTCTTCATCTCCTTTAACTATTCCTAACACACAAGATGTTCATGCATCTATTTTTTGTTATCAGTCTTCCTCCACACTACATGATAAGTTCCAGGGGGACAAATATTATTGCCTTTCTTATTCACTGCTATATCGGCTGTCCCTAGAATAGAATCTGGTTTATTGTAGATGCTCAAGAAGTATTGGTCGAGTGTGCAGAAATAAATGAATGAATAAATGTATGAAAGAATGATTATTAGCTTCAACTCTGCAGATGAGGTCCTTGCACTCAGCAAAGACCCACCCCAAGGCCTCTCCCAACACTGTTGTCTTTGCAAACAGAACTGGACCTGATTCCCCAACACATCCCTCCACCTACCTTCACACGTCTCTCCTGGACCTCCTAGAGCCTGCAGAGAAAACACGGCCCCGCTGACACCTTGATTCCAGACCTCTGGCCTCCAGAGATGTGAGAAAATAAATCTCTGCTGTTTAAGGCCCCCAGTCTATAATATTTGGTGATGCAGCCAAGCTGCCTAACACAATGCACAAGAGAATTCATCTTTGTGTTCCTCAATTTCCCCATCTGTCAGATGAGGATAATAGTACCCACCCCACAGGGTCACTCAGAGGACTAAATAAGGTGACCTCTGTAAAGCACTCCACACAGAGCCTGGAGCACAGTAAGTACTAGGCAAGCAAATCTTAACTAAAATAAAAATTAACCACTAACATGTCGAGCTTTCTTTGTGGCAGGCATTGACAGAGATCTCTTACATGCATTAGCTCCATGAATGCTCGTAGTAGCCCTATGAGGTGTAAACTAATAGTTCCATTTCTCAGAGGAGAAAACTGAGGCTTCAAAATTGTGCATCATCACATAGCTTGTGAAAGGCACAATCAGGATTGGAATCCACGTTCTGTCTGGCTCTGGAATGTTTGGATGGCAGCTTCTCAGGCTGTCTTAAGTCTCAGAGTCTGGGAATTTGGTGATTACATTGATATGTGTCCTACACAACCCCTCCTTGAACTGCCAGAGGTTGCAGCCTCATTTGGAATGAGGAATGGCAGAATGGCATGGTGGTTGGGAGCATGGGGTGTGAAGTCACTCCTGGGCACACTCGGATCCTGACTCTCCTACCTCCTATCTATTTGGCCTTGGGAGAGTGATTCCACTGCAGTTGAGGCTCACAGTCCTTGTCTGTGAAATGGGTCTACAATGCGACCAATACCGTCAGGTTGTTGGGAGGACTGAATGAGCACACGTGAGGGAGAGCTTAGCGCCTTGGCTGGGATTCAGCCTCCACACTTTTGTACCTGCTGTTCCCTCCTCCTGGAACATCCTTCCCCAGACACCCAATCTCTCCCTCCCTCACTTCCTTCAGATCTTATCTCAAATACCATCTTCTCAGCATGGCCTTTCCTTACCACTCTGTTAAACTTAGAATCCCATCCTCAGAACTCTCTATCTGTCTTTCCTGCCTTATTTGTCTTCATCTTCTTTAACTATTCCTAACACACAGGATGTTCATACATCTATTTTTTGTCATCTATCTCCCTCCACACTAGATGATAATTTCCAGATGAACAAATATTATTGCCTGTGTTATTCACTGCTGTATCCGCCTTCCCTGGAATAGAACCACGTGTATTGTAGATGCTCAAGAAATATTGGTCAAAGGGTGCAGTAATGAATCAACAAATGAATTTATGAATGAATGATTCAGCTGACACCAGCTCTGACTCCTCTCCCACCACTGCTGTCTTTGCAAACAGAATTGGACCTTATTCCCCAACAGATCCCTCCACCTACCTTCACACGTCTCTCCCAGGCCCTGGGAACTCATGCTTCCATTTCTGGAAAGAAATCCTGAGTTGCACACACAATAGTAGCTTCCAGGACTGTTGTGGCAAGTTGCATGCTCTGGGCAGACTCTGGTATCCGCACATTCATCCACATCTAGAGAGTGGAAGAGAAAACCCGGGTAAAGGAAGACGAGGAAATGAAGACAGGAGCCTGCAAGTGGAGATTCGCTCTACATGTTCTTAGCTTGTGGCACGCAGTGCTGAGGCTCCCCAATACCCACATTCTCCCCTTCTTCCTAACCTCCCTTGCAGGTAGGCGTGGTGGTTAAAATAAATTCTGGCCAGCGGTATGTAAGCAAAAGGATGACAAATAATGTCACACATAATGATCATAGCTTGCAGAAAGGCTGTAGTCTTTCTTTTTTAGCACAGACAAAAACGTGCACTGTTTATTCCTTTGTTTGTTTGTTCACTTGTTTGTGTCACGCATCCATGCATTCATCCATCCATCTATCCATCCATCCATCCATCATCCATCCATCCATCCATTCATCCATCTATCCATCTATTGAGCTACCCATCTGTCCATCCATCCACCTACCCATCTCTCCTATTGAGCTACCCATCTATCTATCCATCCATCTATCCATCTATTCATCCACCCAAAAATGTCTGCCAAGAGTGTGGCACTTAACTGGCCACATACCTACCCCCGTATCCACACCTCAGGATGCAGACTGTGCAGTGCAATGTGACTCTGACGCTCTTCTCTTTAAATGTGTTGTTTGTTTCCTGGCCCCTAAATCCAGCTGGCCCTATGACTTCCATTGGCCAATTGAATGCAGCACAAGTGATGTGGTGCCAGTTCCTAACTTAGACCTCTAAAGGCTTCTTTGCTTCTGTTCATGCTTTGGGCCTCCTGATTCTGCCACATGAACAAGCCCTAAACTAGCCTAATGAAGGATGGAAGACATGGATCATCCTAGATGAGACCCAGTCACGTGAGACAGCCCAGCCCAACCACAGCTGAACGCAGACATATGAAGAATGTTTGAGACCTGAAGAACTGACCAGAAGAGCCCAACTTAAACCACTAATGCATGGAAACAAGAGCTAAATAAATGGTGGGTTTTTTTAGCCATTGTCAACAGGGTGATTTGTTACTCAGCAATAGCTGACTGCTACAAATGGACTAGAAATATCAGAGGTGACTTCAAATATCTCTGACTCCAAGCCAAGGAGATGTGACAAAGGCAGGGTCACTCCACACTCTGCTGGATGGAGTCACCTTCCCCATAATGTGGAGAACAATAGAACCACATTAGACTCAGGGAGATGGAGCCCTGGTGTCTTGCTGAGAACATTCTGGCTGCAGTGTGGAGGATGGACTAGAGGTGACACGACTGGAGAAAGGCAGAGACCAGAGGGGATACTGCTGCAATACGGATGAAGCCTGATCCAAGGATGCAGAAGAGTGGAGAGATTTAAGACATATTTAGCAGGTAGATTCCCCAAGACATGATGACTGATTTAATATGGAAGGGGAAGGAGGGTGAGGGTAACTCTCAGGTCTTAATTCAAATATCTTTTAGGAAAAAGTGCTAAGGTTTGGGTCTAAGCTCCCCCTAGGACAGTTTCCCCACCTCAGCACTAGTGACATTTGGGACTTGATCATTTTTAGTTGTGAAGAGGCTGTTCTGTGCATTGTAAGATGTTTAATAGCATCTTTGGCCTCTACGCGCTAGATGACAATAGCACACACAACGCCAACACCACCACCAGTTGTGACAACCAAAGATGTCTCTAGACATTGCCAATGTCCCCTGAGGATAAAATCACTGTAGCGACAGAGCCCCCCATTACTCTCAAGTACTGCCTGACCCACTGCTTAAGTCACAGTAGCGCCTCAACAGGAGTTCAAACCCTGGTTCTTCCACTTAATAATGGTGCTTCCTTTGGCTAGTCTCTTCACCTCTCTGAGCCTCAATTTTCTGATTCCTAAAATGAGGATCATGATCCCTACCTCATAGGATCATCAAATGAGGTGATTCTTAATCAAGTAGGTAAATAAAGAAGGGCAGGCCCTCTAGACCTTCAGAGGTGGAGTTGTTAGAGAAGAGCCCATCTCGACAGCTGCAACTGTAGCTTCGCAAGGAGTTGGAACACTTAGAATGCTCTGAGCAGATTCTACTGGAGAGGCATTCATTGATGTCTGAGGAGTGGTGGATGAGAGTGAGCAGACAAAAGATTGGGTGTCTGGGATGAGAAACACATGTACCCAACTTGATGGTAGCTTTCCACCAAAAGCCTGCCTGAGAGCCTGAGAGCATTACCTGTACAGACGAAACGACCTGGGTTTCCCGAGTTCCAGTTGTTTCCAGTAGGAGAAGAGAAACCAGGCAAACAGCTGCACTCGTACCTCCCTGGCAGGTTTTGGCAGACTGAGTTAAGACCACATTGTAGGGGACTTTGAGAACACTCATCTATATCTGGATAGAGAAAAAGTCAGAGTTACAAAGTTGTCTCATCTTGTGCAGCCCATTGTATTTTCCAAAGATGGTTGAAACAATGTTTCCCTCCCATAAGCCCTTCTTTCCGTGAGACCTTGGTACTCCATCCATCAAGTATTTGGGTCTATATTCCCTCCCCTGGAATCTGAGCATGCTGTGACCATCGTGAAAGTGACAGCAGTTCATGAAAATACACTGCTGGGTCATAAGAATATCACACTAGGTCCTAAAAATATAATGTACTTCCTTGTTCTCTTGAGACACTCATTCTTGGAAATCAGCTGTCATATTTTGAGGAAGCCCAACCAGCTGTGAAAATGCAGCTCACATGGGGAAAAACTAAGACTTCCAGCCCACAGCCCTGGGGGAGCAGTCAGTCAATAGCCAGCACCACCTTGCCAGCCTTGTGAGTAGGCCCTCTTCAAAATGGATCCTCTAGCCTCCAGTTGAGCCAATTCAACTGACACTGTGTGGAAGAGAGACAAGCCATCCTCTCCAAACTCAGCCCTAATAGAAGATTCATTCACAAGCAAAATAAATGATTGTTGTTTGCAACTAAGTTTGCAAGTGGTCTGTTACCCAACAAATAGATAGGTTGGAGAGATAGCCAATTCTAGGAATTTACTCATTGAAGCACTCACGGAATTGTGCAGTCATGGTACCGTAGGGGGGCCTCCCCTAATTTCCTTCATCCCTGCTCTGCCAAGTCACCCCAAATAAACACTTGCTATGTACTTTTCACGCAAGCACATCTTCAAGGCAAGTCTCCTATAGCTCCCTCCCCATCATTGCACCTCTCCTAGAGAGAAATCTGGAGCTGCCACTGTACATCAACATAAGATCACAGGGATGCTCATTCAGCTCTGTTTCAAGTTATAAAACATTAGAAAAACCCAAGTGCCTGTCAATAGAAGGAAGGTTCAATCTGGAGTTGACATAAAGAATAAGGTACATGTTCCTTCATTCAACAAATATATATTTAACTCACAATGTATCAGGCAGCATGCTGAGGGTCAAAGACATAGAGTAGACAAAATAGTTGCTGTAGTATCCATCATTTTCTAGATGGGGAATATTGATTTCACCCCAAATTCAAACACCAGGGCTCATGAGCACTACTGAGCTGACTGAATTACCCATGAAATGTAGCCCAAAGATAAAGAACGATGTTCGGGGGTCCCTGGAAACTAACAGCAAAAGTGAGAGAAATGCATTTTCTTCTTCAGAGCTCAGCAAACTACATCCCATGGATGATATCGAGCCCACCACCTGTTTGTGTAAATAAAGCTTTATTGGCACACAGCCACATCCATTCATTTTTATATCTTCTATGGCTGTGTTTGCACAAAACTGAGTAGTCATGACAGAAATCCTACGGCTTGCAACTTCCACAATGTTTACTATCTGACCCCTTACAGAAAAATTTGCCAACCTCTGGTCTTATTCAGAGGCATAATCAGATCTTTACTGTGAAGAGGAGAACTGGAGTTTAAATATAAGGAATGCCGACAGAGAACTTAGGTCCTTCTGGGAATTATGTTACTTTATATTATTTATGTTAACATAGCTCTTAATACTGCACATGTACCTAGCACACTGCATACATTATTGCATTTAATCTTCCCAATTATCCTTGGAGTTAGATACTCTTATACGCCGGTTTTACAGATGGAAACATTGAAGCTTAGAGAGATGAAATACATTTCACCAACATCTCTTAACTAGAGTATGGCAACTAAGCGACATGGTTGACAGACCCTCAGTAGAGTCAGAAAGACCTGGGTTTGAATCCCAGTTCAACTGCATGACCCTAAACATTCATTTCAGCTCTCCAAGCCTCATCTCTATTTTCTCATCTGGACAGTGGAGATCATCACAATGCCTATGGTCTATTTAATGTGAAAATGCACACAAAGCCCTTCAGATAGGGCCTGGCACTCTATAAATGTTGGAAATTCTAACTATCTCCATGGAAAGGCGGCCAAACAGTGGGCCCTCACAATGAAATCAGTGGGTATTTCTGAATGTTGACAGGTAGCATGATTTTAATTTTTCTTTTCTTCCTAATGCCAGTCTGTAATAATTGGAAATTTTAGTGACCCAGAGTAATTCTTACGGTGAAC